ATCACTCCCTCCATCTCATCCACACATTTGTCCAACCCTCTCATATTCTCTCTCGTTGGCAATATTTTAATTATCTTGTTATAAAGTATTTATATTTAATTGATGTAATGAAAAAAGAGAGATTGATATTTTTGTGATAATGTTTTCAGTGAGAAAACTCGAGGAGATTGGCTTCATTTATGGACTCATCATGGAAAGACTGATCTCTTCCAACTAGTTAATTTGGTGAGTGATTATCTTATCCTATCAACAAAAAAGCCCTAGTATTTCCTGTCGTAGTATTCATCAATTGTTATTGTTTCCCATCTTTTCTAAATTATTCAATTTTTTAAATTCATTAAATCCAATCCCTAAATCCACTTAAGGTTTTTAGTCAAACAAATTCTGCAGCAAGTCCTAATCTTGTTATCTTGGACATTACAAAACCTTAAATCCTTTTCAAATTTCTCATAAACTCCAAAAAATTTCAATAAAGCCTTCTATGCTATATAATATTATTTTTCTTTGTTTTCAACATTTTAAGTTTATCCACTAACACCGTAAATCCAATCAACTACACTAAGTCATATTACAATTTTTTGGTAATTAGTTTCGATATATAATATCAAAAAAGATCTATGAATTTTTAAAATTTTAAAACTTGTGGACCACTACTAGACTCAAGCCCTTAACATTTTCAGTTCATTTCAAGGCATGAAATTTTCCTAATTGGCATCTTTTTGAAGTTCAATTATCTGCTCTTGGATTAGGTTGTTCAAGTGTCTACTTTGGCCAATTTGGTGCTTCAAACTTTTAAAACCCACACCACACATAACACTGCCAAATCATAAATTATCTTCCTAGATCTATTGGGACTAAAAGTTCCAATTTCTGGAACATTAATAATACCACACCAACCAATTAGTTGGACCTTCATCTACCCAATTCCAACATATTAACATGTCCAATAGCCAACACCAAACTATCAGCCTAACTTAGGGTCTGTTTGGAGCAGCTTATATATTTCAAAATAAGCAGTTTATCCTAAAATGCGGCCCGCGGGTTGACCGCGAGAGTCGACCCGCGGCCTGCATTTAGTGTTAAAAACTCAAACGCGGCAGGCAGTGTTTTCAAAAACGCGCAAACCAAACGGTTAGGCGGCGTTTTTAAAAACGTGCCGCACTTATAAGCTGGCCCTTAGTCTGCCCAACTCCAACCTTCTTCCTAGCTTCGCTTGCTTAGCTCAAACTTCTTGGACTACCTTCGGGTAATTAGAACCTATCTCGTTGGTCGCTCTAACTACCTAACTCTAATCTGTCAACTCATCAAATTTCCAGCTTCCCACCAACAAACAATCGATTGCTTAGTTTTTTGTCAACCATCTCTGTAGAAACCTATTTTATGGTCCCAAAAGTGTCCATTGCCACCTTTGCCAACCAACCACTATTGGCGGCCACAATTTTGGTTGCACATGCATATTACATCATCTTATGCACCAATCCATAATAGACTTATGGCACCCTACAATACAATATAATGCCCAAAACTTAATATTTTGTGTTTCACCTTGTCCCTTTTAATAATATTTTATGTCATTATTACTAGACCTTCTTACGAGTTGGGTACCCACCAAACCAAACTTACACAATCCTAGATGTTTGGGCACAACATTAAGACCCTGCAATTTAAATTGATTTTGCCAAATTGCATTTCTAGGCAGGCTTGAGAAAGAGCATATCTACTTGGCCCATCTCAACCAAACCTAAACCAACTCAAAATTTTTCAATGTATTTTAATGATTTTGAGCAAATCTAACTTAACCTGACCCGATTTGAACTCAAGTCCAAAGCGGGTCAAGAAAAAACAGAAATTTTAAATCTCCTAACTTAAGTTGACCCAGCCTAGCCTATATAGTGGTCAATCATAACCATCACCAACCACGCACAACCAACTCTGGTCAAATCAATTGGCCAAATGGATTCCAAGACATAGCACCTTATAGCCCTCATGGCTTTACGCATGTTCAAAAATATCATCCACCCTTAAGGCATTCAATAATAGCTAGTGGCATGCCAGCCCATCACATTCAGTTAGTAAGACACTAGTTGCATGGTGCATAAATATGTATGGATCATATAAAAGACTTTACAAATGTTAGCAATTTTGTTAATATTGAACTCTTCTTGCTCTTTTTAATTTCTCTCCTATTTAATTGTCTCCTCCTTGCTATGGTAAGCAACAACTCTGCAATCTTCCCTTGAAAATATAAAATCCTTCCCCTTTACACAATTGACGTAACAAACTAACTTAACCAAATAAATTATGTGTGTTCTACAGTAATGTGATAACTCTCTCTCTCTCTCCCCACCTCAACTTTCTCACTCCTTCCACTAGAATGCATTTTGTTCCAACGGACCTCGATCAAGCTTGTCAGCAAAATCTAGTTTTTACAGGTAGATTAGATCCACTCTGACAACAGCATAACCATATAATTAGGAAACTTCACTACAATATGATGCATTGAAAGATTTGCTCAAAGAATGTTCATGAGTGATCAAACAAATGGAGCATTATATCTTCATAGCTCTCAATGTAAAGTGAAAAAATCAAGTGGAAAATGTTAGTAGTCGCACCATATTGATGTTTGCTATGATCATTCCTTTGAGTTCACATCATTCAGCAAAAGGATCCCAATGTTCCTCCTGAGAATCTTAAAATCCGCAGTTTTACATTTAGCCTTTTTTTTTTTTACAAAACAACAAAAACAACAACAACAAAGCCTTAATGCCACAAGAATCCTTTTAATCCATTGTGTCCTATTTAGTGTCATATTTTCATTTAGTTCTAATAAATTAAGATCTTTTTTTTATATAATAAGCCCAACCTCTGTCTCTCTTAACATAAGTCGAATCTAAAGCATCTACTCCACTAATCGAATCATCAGATGGTATACGTTTAATGTGACCAAACCATCTAAGACGACTTTCTCAATGTAGTGACAACGAGAAAATGCCAATAATTAATTGGCCTACTATAAATAGTCAAAAGACCCACATACTCAAATGTAGCCCTCATTTTTGCTAGCCCTTGAAAAATCTCACTGCTCTCTCTATGATCGTTGTAACTGCAAATAAAGGTCTGTCAAGCATCAATTGGTTTTGTGCTTGTGCACAATTTCTCAATGTAGGAAGGAGTCAGGGAACCAGACTCCTATTGATTATATGGTTCATGTTCATCCATTTCATCCATATTATTCTTTTATCCTCAATAATTTAGACGAACCAATAATGCCTCAATTATATAGCAATGGGCTCCAACATTATTTAAGTCCCATTCAATTATTACATATCTTCATCATTTTTCAATAGATCATCCATGGTCTCGGAAGAGTTCTTCATAATAAAGAACATGAATTATCCTTTTCTTAGCCCTTGGACAACGGCCACCTTCATGGCCTCTAGGTGTAAATCACCAACTTCAAAGTTTCCTTGGTGAATTTAATAATTATTTTAAAGAGGCCAGTACAAAGCTCACCTCAAATGCAAAAAATATACAGTTACTCTTCCTTGGTTTTTATGAGCTAGAGAAGCTAAGAACCAATTATTTTAATCTCCCGCCAATGTTTGTAATAATTCCCAAAAATAAAGACTAATCTCCTCTATTCTGTTGGATATAAGGTTCAAATCCATATGCATCCCTTCTCCAAAATTATGCCAATGAAACTCTACCTCGGCTAGCTAAGTATGTTAAGATTAAAGTCAGAATTTATTTCTGAAGCGCCAAAAATTACTAATTCCACTAAGAAAAAGCAATCACTCCTTTTAGATGTTTATTGAATCTTCCAACTATAAATTTTCATATTTTTAGTTGTAATATCTTCAAAAAATTTTGCCCAACTTGATATGTCTCAATTAGAGTGACATGTTAATACCATTTTGGGGTGGGGAGCATATGGGCTTGCAAATAGTTGATCACAACATAAGTGAGAATTAAAGAAGTTCATAGAGAATATGATATAGATGTGCTTCAAAGAAACATTTTAACAATCTCTCGGGAAAAATTGCATATATAATTCCCTCGCTATTATAGACACTCAACGACATCCTATTTCCTTTATTTTGATACTCATGAATATTCAATAATAGTTCAAAGGACAATCTGAGTTGCAATTTATATCAATTGATATGATATAGCCCTTAGGGTAGACCAAAACTAACATAGACACTATAAATTGTAGATTTGACTAACAATGATAACATGCCACACCTGGATTAGTTAGAGGATACAGGTCAATGCCCCAATGCCCAAAAAAAAAAACACATGAATGATCAATCTCAATACATTGTCATTCTATTCGTTGGTACAGGTTCAACTAATCTTTTTTCCACAAAGATGAACTAATTATCATGTTCATTTGTCTAAAAAATTACTTACAAGAAAATGAAGACGTAAAAATGAAGGTGTATGTATGATATAACACTTGAAACCACATATCTCCAGTGAAAGTTAAAATGGTTATATATTAAACTTTTGAAAAGCAAAGCAATTGTAGGACAGTACCAAATAAGGCAAAGGTAAAATATTTGAAGGGCAACATAATAGCATGGTAAATTGGGGAAAAGAAGCTTCATTTGTGAATATTGACAAATATCACATAAAAAGACGTTTCCCTAATTATTTATTTCAATTCATTGATCGAGTGGTAGAGCTTTATTTTTATATGTTTTCTTAATCATGAAATGGCATTCAATGCTGTATGAACCTATAATTCAATAAAAAAAATCATTTAATAATAAAAATTATCTAATAAAAGAATAAAAAAAATTGTTCCTTACTATCGAATCAAATCACCCATTTGAAGATTCAGATCTTATAAAATAAATTCACTATGCCGCATTTGAAGAGCAAGTCATCAACTGGCAATGTTTCCGAGGAAGCAAGCAACCAAAAGACGAGGACAATCTCATGATTTCCCTAAATGATGCATACAATGATCTAAGAAAACCAGAAAACAACCATACCTCGTGCCCGGATGGTATCATCCGTAGTTGTCAGGTACAATTCCATTTCTTTAACCTAAACAAATAAAAAAGAAAAGAAACTCCAAGGTACGTAAGAGAAGTGAACTACAAAAAATATGCATACTGAAAAAAACAAACTACTAACCAATGCCTCCAGAGTTATTAGGTCATCCTTCACTAGACCAGCAACAGCAGCAACGCCAGCTTTCTGCCACAAAACAACCCGGAGAATTTAAGTAAAGGCAAGAAAAGGAAAACTTAACTGAAACACTAGAAAGGACTACATTGGTGGAGAGATACAAGAAACTAAAGCATTAAAACATGACACCACTCTACAATAAAACAAGATGACACTACAAAATTCGGGGCATAAGAAACTATACAATGAGAAGAAAATTCAGGTTTTATTACTCTGTGAGAAACTTAATTCGGTGCTAGGCTATCAAAGGTAGATGAAAATCTTAACAAGCAGAATGGGAGATTAACCTGTTGCTCCGCGGGGCGAGTGACGTCGACGAATGCCTCGATATGCGAGACCCAAGAACCAGAGTTCACCATGGAGCTCGACAGAGCGCGCTTCAGGGGAGAAAAGCTGTTTTGGTTTCGGAGGGGTTTAATTAGGGTTCTGGCGACACATTTTGCCGTTTTCCCCAGAGAATCTCTAACGCGACCGATTCGTGGGTTTCAACGAAGCAAACACAGCAACAATAGATTATATAAATAGCATCTCAAATCTAGTAAAAATTATTAAGTAGGTTCACTCGTATCTGTATGTAGAAATACATATAGTGAATCAATCAAAATACTCCCCTACTAAAAGTGTACGTCAGTGGAAATTCTGATTGTTGCGTCTGCTGTAATGGCTCTAAATCTTGCACCAAATTTCATCCTCTTTCAATTTCTCACTCAAATATCAAATTCATGATAAAACCCTAAACCTAAACTTTTCATTATTATCAAATTCTCAATGACTTGATCGTGGTACAGGTAATTACATCGGTTCGTTTGTTTAAAAATATCTCATAAATGCTAAATTTTATAAATATTGATGTTTCGAGTACTATAAACGGACTTATCCCAAAATAAAAAAGTATATTTTAAAATTGATATATAAAATCTGATCTTTTTCTTTTTATTTATTGATTAATATACCCAAAACATAAAATTAGAGTTCAATTGATTGGCTTCAATTAAACTAGTGTTGAATGTGTTCGAAATGACATAATCAATCATAAATAACTTTTAAAATATTGAATCAAAGCACTTAAATTTGTCGAACTGAAACCTAAATGGACATTAATTTTATCTTGATGAATCATGAGTCTAATTTAATATGATTTTGATTGAGCTAGTGCTCTAATGAGGTTGGAATGTTATGATCGACCCTCAAATAAATTTCAAACTATTGTAAAAATATCTAAAAGCATTTAAATTAATTAGACAAGTCTAAGTGGGTGATTTAATTTCTCTGATAATTGAACTGGACTAGATCATCCTGAATTTGTTAATTCAACACGAATTTATAAGAACTCGCCCTGATTGAATTCATGGTGTTCTCTCCATACTCTTGACAAATTTGCATAACATATGGATAACTCGCCATATCCATGATAAAGTTGACAAAGCTCAAGTGTATTTATCCCATATTAGGTGTATCCTCCCAAGCTCAAGGATTATTCAGTGGCTTCTTCAAGGATGATCGATGAATTCTAAAAAAATCAACTACAAGTTTAAATACCCAATTCTAGTAAAATTAAGTCACATGCTTAATGGATTGTACTTTTTAATCCAAATAACTCATTTAGTAGTATTTTATATAGCGCTCAAAATCTGACCCAAACTTATAACAAGTGATCACAAGAAAAGCCCAAGGCCATGGAATTTTGATGAAATTTCTTATTTCTTAACATACTATAGTGCAATCCTAGAATTTCTCACTCAATGTCTAATCTCTCTCTCTCGATAATCTTTCCTCCTCTTTTTCCTTTAACAATTAATAAAGTTATGAGGTAGACTCATGAATAATTTAGGACCTGACATCAATAACCATAGACATATGCCAAAAATGGAAAGGGGCAACTAAGAATTATAGAGGACCATACTTAACACACCTCAATCAACATATAGAATCAAAATTTTATCAATACATGATCACTTGCAGAGATGGAGGAAATGATTGAAAGAAAGTTATAATAAATATAAGAGCATATTTGTAAAGTTATTCTCAAAATTCAAGTGCCAGAAGAATCATCTTATTATGTCAGTCAAAGGAGGAATTTAAGTGTGAAGGGCACCACGTTCCAACCCATTAAACAATGTTGTCAAATATTCAAAAGCTAAAGAAAACTTATCTCCCTCACCATATGGAGTGGAGAGATGAGTTGAGAAGAGGAAGTCATTTCTGACCAACACCATTTCAAGAGTTATTATAAAGGCAAAGTCTCTTATAAAATTCAAGATTCCTCATCTTAAATTTTTAAAGAAGAAAAATAGTTCAGACAAATTATTTTACCTATTTTTATTATATTATATGTTTGATTAAATTTATTGCTCTTTAAAATGTAGATTATTTTTTATAGCTTTTAAGGAATTGGCTTTTAACTAGTTTGCTTAGTTGAACAACGATTTTGATCTTTATTCAATAAAATGATCATCACTAAATCTGCCTATGCTCAATCTTTAAAGAATATGTATGTGTTATTGAAGCTAAGGCAAGGGCCAAAAAAGTTAACAAAAAGATTGATAAAGAGATTTTAGAGAATATATTAGAATTAAAGGATCTAGAGTCAGTTGTAGTTCAAGTTTTACTCACTCAAAGTTTGAGAGAGGGACATTTATGCAACTCTCTTTATCTGCAACTGATCTCGAGAAAATATAGTTGTGTAAAATTTATATAAGTTTGACTCCACTATGCAACAGCGCCAAAAAGCTTGACAGCGCCAAAAGCTTGATACAATATTTATGATTAAGAAATTTAAACAATTAATGTTGGGATTCTACGCAAGTATATGTATCGTTATCTAGCAATAAAAAACTTCCTATTCAAGCCCCAAGTATCGATCCCACGGGGAAGGTTTAAATTTGAAGTGATAAATTTACTAGATAATTAAATTTGAAGTGATAAATTTACTAGGAAATTCACAGAAAGTGAATCAAAATTACTGTCACTAATTTTGAATGTTGAGATATTATCAAAAGTAAATTATTTAATTATTAGCAAAAGAAAAGTACAAAGTTTAAACAGTAACTACTGAACTACTAAATTATATTTTTGTGATGAAGATTTCTTATGTGAAAAAACATATTTCCAACTACAATGAGATTTTGGTAAAATGAGATGAGAAATGGTTTTAATATGTATTGTGCCAAATAGGAGCAGTTTTAATTTTCTATCCTGATATAGTGTTATCGAAAATCAATGGCTAAATCTCAGGTTTAGTCCCTAAATTCGTGGCTAGACTAGGAGGATACTAGGAGGGTTCTGGCTCCCACACCAGAGCTCCCACTTCCCTTCACCTGAAGACTAACTCTAGCTTTAATTTTAAACACTAAGACCGAATTGGGGATTTTAGTCTATCACCCTAAAATCTCAAATTCTATACCCAACAATGTATATTTTCCTATTTATTTGCACTTAATTCTATGAACGAAATACTCCTTCACGGAATCAAATGTGATCCTCACTCTGTTATAGAACTCATACTCCATTTCCCTGATCATATGTTTCACAACACATTTTAACAATTCAATTGGCCAGATCAAAATGTAAATTAAGTTTGGAGTTGATAAATAATCACAATTTATTTTATATTTTAATATTAGCACATCCATATTATCTCTTCATTTCACCATATCTCATAGTAGGGAGAAAAATAAAGAAGACTACTCAAACATCATGAGAAAGATATAACATAACACAAATTTCATATAAAAAGAAAGTTCATACAACACTAATAAACAAACAACTCTTATCTGAAACTCTTTCTCAAAGAAAATCCCTTGCAGCCGCTTTTAGGAAATGTAAGAAGAAGAATTCTCTCACTTTTCTCTTTAGAATTCTCTCACTTTTCTCTAATTCTCTCACTTTTCTCTTTCTCCAACACTCTCAGAGAAGATTTCACACTTAATCTCACCACAAAAACTCTAAACTCTTAAAGATAAATCGCTAATATACTCCTGAATGGTGGTGGAATGAAGATGGAAAAAGTGTATGGAGGCGAGGTGTGGAAAAAATGAGCAAAGAAGAATGAAGAGGAGCCCCTTTTCTGATCAATTTTGGCCTCAAATAGAGCCTAGAGTCGGTTCTCCAATAAGTGCATCCAAAAATCCTTCAAAAAACGTCCAAATTTGTCGAATCTTCTAGAAACAGGGCCTAAACCGACATTGACACCGTCGGCGCCAGTGTCCCATATCTGATTTTGCTGCTCTCCGTTAAATGGCGCTGTCGGCGCTGCTTCTACCATCGGTACTGGTCTAATTCTGTCAGCGCTGAGTAAAATCCATCAGTCGTTCTATAAGTCTGCGCCGTCGGTGCTGAGTATTTCTTCAAAAACGTCATTTTGACTCGAAATTCCATCCTCTTTGCTTCTTTTTTACTTCAAGTCCGAAAAATCAACAACCTGCTAGAAAACATAAAAATACCTTCCATTAAAGTGCAATAGCACAAAAAATGAATATAAAATATGGGTCTAAAAATGCATATATTTTTGGTGTATCAGCAACAACCATAGATGATATTGTATGTGGTGGACAAAATTTAAAATTGTGCCTTGTGATTTTTGTAAGAAGCTGAATGTGATATTAAATGAGATATGAGAGGTTAGTGTTAGGATTTGGTGAAGTAATTTTTTGATAAAAATCAAGCTAAGCACTAACCTAGTTAGATGACCAGGGTCAAAATAACCATGTAGGAAAAGTGCACAGAATTTAGTGTTATTGATGCTCAAATTTAATGATTACATGTACTTTTATTGCATTTATTTTGTATTATATTTCAGAAAATTGATAGGAAAATATGTTGAAGAGGATTGGGAAAAAGTCATGTAGCACTGCGGTGCCAAACGTACAACATTACAACACTTATAGGCTTAAATTTCAATATAGATTCCCAAGATCTTAGCAGCTTATTCCTAATTTTGAGTGTCATAGAGCCATATTTACGGTTTTATAATGCAAGAGGAGGCTAAGTTGGAGGATAAACTTGAGAGCATAGCACCACACCATCATTTCCTAACACTAGAATGTTGTCATTTGAGCTCCACAATGATAGTTATGAAGCACTAAATTATTGTAATATAAAAAATTTGAAGCTAGAAACTCCAAAGCTCAGCACAATAATGTCACTTGTGAACTTCATAATGCTACATCAATAAAACCAAAGTGCTAGTTCATGGTGATGTGGTGCTAGTTCATGACACTATAACATCATGACTAGATAGAGCAAAATTTTCTCTTTTTAGAGTGAGCCCAAGGAAATTATGGAGCAAATTAGATTAGTTCTAAGTCAATTAAGACACTAAGAAGTATACAGTGTGAATTTTTCTGATGTATGAGGAATGACTGTTTTATGTGTGAGTGTATAATGAGGGTGAGAATGCGAGAAAAAGTGTGTGGTTTTACAAGAGAAAATGTGCAAGAGGAGATTTGGTCTTCACATATTGAATAAGGTGCCATG